AAGTTTAAACTATGTATCATATTTTTTATAGCTATCAATCAATCTATCTATCTATCCTCTATTTGTCTATCTTTCTACCTATCATTTTTCTGTCTGTCTATCAGTCTGTCTGTTTATCATCTATCTACTTATCCATCCATCCATCCATCCATCTATAAAAAAGGACATACAAATGACCAAATTGTATATGAGAAAAAGTTCAGAATCAGTGACATAAGAATAATGAAAACATAACTAACATAAGGTCAGTGAAAACCATGATGAAATATTGTATACTTTTGCTAGATGGATTTTATTATGAACATAAAAGGTAAAAAGTCATCATGTGGAGAAAAAGGAACAAATATACATGGTTAGAGGAATATAAAATAGCACAAGTTATTAATTAAAGCACGATGGAAATTTCTCAGAAAACTGCATGTAGAAGTATCACTTGATTAAGCAATATCGAAGTATCCTTTGATCTATCAATCTCACCACTGGATAATTATCCAATGGTAATGAAGACAGAATGCTAAAGACATCTCTGGAAGTCTCTGTTTATTGCATCAAGCACAGTCACCAAAATATATCAATAACTGCAGAGTCTAGTAAAACATGAGTGTGTAAAGAAAATATCATATACATATACAAAGAAATATTATTCAGCCTTAAGAAGGGTGAAGGATGTTGGGCAGTGGTGACACATGTACACCTTTAATCCCACACTTGGAAGGCAGAGGCAGGCGGATCTCTGTGAGTTTGAGGCCAGCCTGGTCTACAAGAGCTAGTTCCAGGACAGGCTACACAGAGAAACCCTGCTTCCAAAAAACAAAAGCAAAATAAAAAAAAGAAAGGCGAAGGAAATCATATTATTGTGACAACACAAATGGAATTGAAGGACATTACTATAAGCGACATAGAAAACACAAAAGGCACATCATGTATCTCGATGTACAATCTAGTCATGTTGAACTGATGAACATAGAGAGTAGAATAATAGATACCAAAAGTCAAGGTCCGGAGAGTAAAGGAAAGAGAAAATGCTGATTAAGACCTAGGCAGGAAAAGCAGGTGTTGAGTCCCAACATACATCAAAGATAATAGAGAAGACAATGACTCGTTGTTTACTTCAGAATAATTAATGAAATAATTTAAGTATTTCACCATAGAAATTATAGGTAGTTGAAGTAATATACAGGCTGATTAGCTAAATTTAATCATGCCATGCAGTATACATATTCAAAATTTTATATTGTTCCTTATAATTTTATATAATCATGATTTATCAATGAACATTAAAAAGAATAAAATAACTTCTAGCAGGGACTATCCAGGACAGTGACATGAGCATTCTTATATCGTTTGCTACTGTTTGAACCTGTAAATCTCGTTGTAAATCAGCTTCAGGAATACCAGACTACAAACATTTAAATTTACTTGCTTTGATTTACTATTTATTTATAGACCATAATTAAAGCAGAGAGTTGAAACAGCTATTATTTTTAGAAGAATTAAGCTGTGTTAGACAACTTGCGGCGTCCACACTTAGAACACTCTAACTCTGTTTCCCTTTAGGTCAGTAGCAAACATTGAAGGGTGACTTCAGGATTCTTAACTGATCAGAGCCTTTCAAGGGAATATAGAGTTTTGACTTTCAAGGCAAGATTAGATTTTGAGACCCACGTGAGAATTATATGTGATAGCAGAGGTAAATGAAGAGAGGTAACTAACAATCAAACAAGCAAGCAAATCTGTACTAGAACTATGTAAGTTTTAGGCCCTCAGTCCTGGAGGAAGAACCAAATAATATCTGACACATGGCATACTTCTGGTTAACCTGCATTCAGACGTGATCAAAGCCTAACCTTGACTAGGTTTAATGAAAAATCATTTTCTACATTTTATGAACGTGGCAAATGATATAAACAGATATTTTATAAAAATGGACTGATGAATGATAAGATTTTTACATCATGCTATTTAATATAATTAATTCCATATCAAATATTCCTCAGGTGTAAGCATATTTCCCATGTGGATATCATCATTTGTCTATTGATACCCGAAACAAAGCATTTAATACAATTTGCAAGACTCATGACATTTCACATGGTCATGACTGAAAGATTGAAAAAGAATGTTTTCCTATAACTCCTACAAGGTTACTATAAAATAAATTAGAATTATAGAATCAATATTCAAATAATACTATGATCTAATTTGAGGATAATAAGAAAATTAAAAAACAATGCTGACATACCATAGTCATGAGATATTATTCCACATGGAGTTATTTAATCTAAAACCTATAGCAAATTTAATTTTGATTTCCCTCATGGGGGGTTCAGAATCCAACTATTAATTTTATTTCTCTTTTTTTCTTAAGGGGAGTAAGTTTTAATGTTCTAAAACTAAAAGGTAATGCCATTTATGTAACAGTAAGATTAATTTAATTGTAGTATTAAAATATTCCATGTAACATACAAGTTGTATCTCAAAAAATCTTGGTTTCAAAATGCACCAACCACTGGGCGGCTCAGCAGGTCAGCCTGCTCAATTAAGCTTCCCTCTGCATCAGTAAACATATGTCTAGTTGCAGGTTGAGTTCAGAGAAGCATATGAGACAGCATGGAATTTTATCTTTTTCCCCCTTTTTTAATTATGAGTTTTTTAATACAAGCTTTACTCATTTTGCGTACTATCCCTATATCCACTCCCTCCCCTCCTCCCACCCTACCTTCCCCCCACTCCATGCCTCCATCCTCTCCTAAGAAAGGGTAAGTATTCCCACCATAGTCAACAAAGTTTGACACTTCACTTCAAGGTAAGACCAAGGCCTTCCTCCTTATATCCAGGCTGAGTTAAGGTATCCCTCCAAAGAGAATGTGCTCCTAAGTAAGGCATTTGATTTTAAAGACTGGGCTTGACACTAACATTTTATCAGTAATACGTCTTTTTAAAGAGACAAATGCTAGCATATTAATTGGATTTTTTTATATAGAACCATTATTGTCAAAGCTCATTCCTTAAAATCAAACACCTTAAAATAACCACAATAACTAATACCCACAAGTTGGGAAATTTATCTATCTATCTATCTATCTATCTATCTATCTATCTATCTATCTGTACATAATACTCATTCAGTATAATAAAGAAAGTTACAAATATTTAGAAATAGTGCAAAACAAAACTTAAAACACCAAAACAAATACATTTTGCATGGGAGAAAGAAAACCAAATACAATTACGCGGATAAAACTTATGTGCAAACCCCGTGCTCTATAGAACGTCTTCTGTCCCTACTGTGAACTTTTCTTAGCTTATTTTGTATTTGTTCATAGTTAAAAAACAAAACAAAACAAAACATGCTCTTCACATGCACTCTGTGAATATACTGGAATATACTGGAACATTTTAGGATAGAGCTCTTTCTGAATGTTCAAGTCATCTAAATTAAATGTTTCTTTCTTCTAGGTACTTACTTTCTGTAGTTTGGATGTCTTTATTTAACAGGGAAAAGTTATCGATGGAATCGATGCTAATCTTACCACAGTTGTTATTATTACTTATGGAAAGAGTGAACTGCTGGCTAACATAATAGCAGAAAATAGAATGCTGTCTGAAAGCCCAGGCTTGTTTTAATTTTGGAAATCTAATTTAATTCTATTACAATATTTCCTAAAATACTGAGGTTTTTATTTTTAATTTTATGTATATGGATAGTTTTGCTTGCACATGGTCTGCGCACCTCGTGTGCATCTTGTGCCTGAGGAGGCTGGAAGGTGTTTTGTATATTCTAGAACTGGAGTCACCAATAGTTGCAAGTCTCAAAGTAGATGCTGGATTTGAATCAAATCCTATTACAGAGTTATCCTCTGCTGTTAACCAGTGAATCATCTCTCCAGTACCAATACAGAGTTGACACCCTCAATGGACACTAAATTTTGAAATTGTCTTTCCATGAAAAATTGCAAACATTAAAACAATATAGTGGATAATACCATATACATACATACATATACATATACATACACACACACACACACACACACACATATATATATATACATATATGCCATACACTACTCAAGCAATAAACTCATTCACCTTCCAAACATGTTTTATGTATTTTTTAGAAAATTTGCTTGTTGTTATAGACTTCCTAGATATCATGTCTTTTGGTCAAACACACTTGAATATGTTACTCTATATCACAATAACTCAGTGACTTTCAAATCATAATGAAATGCAAATCACAATAAATCCATGCTTGATCACGTTATTAATAATGTATGCCCTTTAAGATTTATTACATAAAGAAGATAATAGTTATTTTCCATTCAAAAGTACATACTTTTTCCCTCTGTTATAAATAATTATCAGGAAGTATGGGTAGTATAAATAATAAAATTTTAGTACTGCAAATAGATATAAAACTGGTAAGTCACATTATTGTTCTGTTTAGTGATACAAGACTTTAATTCTTTGGTATGATGAAGTCAGAAAGGAAATCTGTGAACTAGACCTGAAAACCTTCATTCTAGAAGTAACTGAGAAAGCTTTCAATATAACAAAGTATAATTTGACTGTTTAACAATATTTAACATACTATAAGTATATCAGAATATTATGTGATCAGCCTCATTAATTCAAGCTATTATAATTTGTAGTCATTAAAATTTTATATCAATTTTAAAACTAATGTTGCATTATTACATGGTTATTTATATAACAATCAAAGGCACATAAAATCTAGATAAACTAACACAAATGAAAAAATATACTAATATATCAGCAATGTAAAAAGGGTTTTTATTTTGATGAATATATTTAATTCTTCTTCGAGGCTATTTTACACACACACACACACACGCACACACACACACACGCACACACACACACACACACACACACACGTGTGTACTTTAGGCCATAGGAGGGCTGAAAATGTTTTAACACCTTCTTTCTATCCTACAGAACATTTTCATCTTTCCATGTCTTACATTAAACCTTACCTTCAAAGTAACCATCCCTCCTCAGCTGTGACCTCTTTGATGTCTTTGTAACACGAACTTCATTTTTGTGTTTTTTGAATAATGCCAGTCGCACAGAGGGTTCTAGGGGAAAGAGACAAGAAGAAAGGCCAGCTCTTGGTTACTCCTTCTCTAATATAGCCATGTTTTTCCTTTTGTTGTTATTAACAATAATACACATTCCATTGGATCTCTGTGAACTTGCCAATGTCTTCTTAAACTTGAAAATGTAAATAAGAAGTGCCCAGCACTTGGATATTCTTAGTAGAAAACCAGAAGTGTTAATAAAATTGTGAAAATTTGAACATATATACTTTGACATCATCTTTATATTTGGGAGTCAGGCCCCATTTATTTTAGTGTCTTTCCTAGTATTTTCCCTCAAATAAGAAAAAGCAGTCGATTACCAGGGAGGAGAGCAGACTCACTATATCCTCCCTACACTATACAGAGAACACAGCTGTGAGCTAGAAGCAAGACAGCAAGAAACCAGCTTACTGGAAAATATTGGTATTGTGAAAAAATGGTGGTTTCTCTTCTCCAATAACATATTTATAGAAAAAAGATGCTATATGAATTTTTCTATATATTAAAGTTAGAAATAGTATTAATCTATCATATAACAGGGTGAGTCACAGTGAATGTAGGACCTTGCAATTTTTTATTAACAACAAATGAATGTATGGAATGTGAAAATGGGGTTTGGCCCTGAGGAATTTAGAGGTTTTACCTATGACTTAAAACAAAGGGATGTAACCACTAGGCGTTGAAAGCTTGTGGCAAAGTAAGCACTTTTAATATGGTAAAACCACCTTTTCCGGGTGGTACACTTTTTTTAACTGTCTTATATTATTTGGAAAAAAGTGTAGGAGAGTAAGAATCCTGAATTAATGTCTAGTGTAATAGAATTAAATCAAAAAAGTAAACATTTTAAAAATGGAAGACACTAAAGCATTTTAATAGTTTAGTGCTAAAGTAATAAGTTCCAAACTGTATACTGAGAGGAGTAAGAAAAGCATCCGTGGAAGGATGCTCCATGATGAGAAACCTGGCAATTCCCAGTAGTCTACCTGTGTAACTGAGCCCCATTAAAGTTGATTTTTGTGTTTTACAAACACGATTTTGATCATGCCAATAGAAACTATTAGTCAATGTTTGGCTCTTTTCTGAGGTATCTGTACCCTTTGATATTATAATCATTGGAAGTTCCTACAAAAACTCTCTAGGAATTAGCAACGATAACAAATGAACAGACGCTCCCCAGCACAGGTAGGATGCTATATAAGCCAGCCACATATCTAGTGATATCTCAATAGAAACAGAAGTCAATAATGAAAAGTATCATTTCCATTTCTCATTGCTGTGGTTCATCATAATCATCTTCTATCTCTCTTAGTCTTCTTTCCTCTGGCACTCATATTAGATCTATGTTGCTTTCAGAAGGATAGTGTTACAATTCTATACAACTGAGTTAGATATCAGTACCAGCTTTTCCCAGTTGTATGATTGTGAACACACTGCTTTCCCAATCAATCTTTTCCCAATGTGAACAGTACAGACTTTTCATGCAAAAGGCAAAATGTTAAAATCAATCATGCTCATTGCCTACATGTAGGCTCTCAATAAATGACACAAACAAACATAAGGCAATGCAAATCATGACAACATTTTCTAATAATTTATGTCTTTGGCAAATACTCTGAATATAGGAAATAGATAGATGGATTCATCGTTGATTAGCTTTTACTCCAAAGAATAAAACATTATGAATGAAAGACTGGAACTTCCTTGGAAAAAATAGCAAGCATTCTCGCTCTGTACACACTCATATGTGAAGCAAGGGTATCACTAGTACTTCCCTCATCCTGTTATTCAGAGACAATCCTTTAACACACAGAAACTATTTAGAATGCATGTCTGAAAAACTTACTCATGAAAATAATTTTATTTTCCAGGAGCATATGAGGAGTACTACTGTACTATAAATATCCTTTAAGTTTCAGAACATTTTGATTGTATCACCTTAAACTGATTCAAAAGTTTATTTCAATTACAGAGATAATGATAAGAAGACGATACTGGTGATTTAAAATGAAAAAAAAAAACCTACAGTTTCAGGGATTTTGTGAACATTGTACAGTGGGCCAGATCCCAGTCCACCTTTTACTAGTTACATGGATATGAGCAAACTGATCTTGCACTTTGTCAAGTCTTTCCAACATTGACTTTGACTATGATAGTTCACACAGAGAGTGCAAATTATATGCTCACATAAGTGTAGGCACTCAATAAATGCCACAAGCAAATGTAGCTGAGTAGAAATAATGACAACATTTTTAAATAATTGAATTACTGGAGAATACCTTTAATCATCCATAGAATAAGGTAGGCTGTGCAGAGAATAGGTAGACAGATATTGGTAGACAGTTGGATCCAACATCTTTCACTTTTAAAGTATGTTTGTCTCATTAAATATACTTGTCTGTCATTGTTACTTTAAAATCCTTTCTCTCTCCTAGAATGCCTTGCCAGTGTAAAAAAATCTTTAAACACATCTAGGGAGATTCCAAGTATGAAAATCTAATTCATTTATGCATTTGATTCCATGTGTGATATTTTATCACCATTATCTCCTTAAGGCAATATTATTTTATATTATTCATTAAGTTTCTAGACAATACCTATCATTTGCACAAGCTTTTCTCAGTTTCTATAGTCTCAGTTGTGATTAACTGTGGGGTTCCTCTGCAGAACACCCCCTTGCCCCCCATAAGGAATTGAGCCACCTGCCTGCTACTGCCCCTGGCTAAGGAGAGGAAGTGCCCTGCTAGCCACCCAGCCCCCAGGTTCTAGAGACAGTCAGATGCAGCAGGGAGTCCAGTTGAGCAGGAGCTCGTTCATTTCCTTACAGCAAAGACCCACAAATCCCAGAGGACGTACAAGGAGAATTAACCAATCACATCAGCAGTCACGTCTGCAAGAGTTTCAGTTCTAATAGCCTCTAATGGAGATCACCAGGGCATCAGGTATTTTAAACCATCTTACCCCATCTTTATCTCCAGTCATCTTTTTTGTACATAAGTTAGGTCTCCTCCCCCATTGCTCCCCTTCAGCACCATCTTGGCTGGGAATATTTTTATGGGCTCTGTAATGTCACTTTTTACTGAATTTTGTGCCTTTTTTTAGCTCTCATGCTTTTGGCGTAGCTGTCATGCTTTTGGCGCCAAGTGCGCCTTTTAAATGCCACTGTTTGGGGCACTAACTTGGCTACTCCAGCCTCCTATGTGCTTAATTCAGTCCACAATTAACTCCCTTAATGCCATTCTTATTACACAGAATGATGCAGGCAGAAGGGGCTTGGTCCTCCCTCAACTTAATGTGCAAGGTTTTGTTGACTCCCATCGGAGGCCTTACCCTTCCTGAAGAGTTGGGGGAAAGCAGGGTTGGTGATTGGAAAGACGGGTTGGAGGGGGATCTGTGGTTGGAATGTAAATTGAATTAAAAAATTATATATATTTATATAATTCATATAAAATTTATCTATATAATATATATTATTGTTATTGTGACTTTTAAAAAGACAGGATCTCAAACAGTCTATGTAGGCTGATCTCAAACTTTTAAGATAGTTTTAACTTCAACCTCCTTGCTTTTAACTTCTGAGGGGATTTCAACCATCCACCACCATGCTCAATTTTTGTGAGCTGCTGGGGGCTCACCCCAGGGCCTGCTGCATGAGAGACAACATTCTTCAAACTGAACAACTGTATTAGTGACTTTTATATTGCTGTAATAAAGCACCTAGACCTAAACCAATATGAAAAGAGGGAGTTTATTTTAGCTTATGATTCCTGAGGGATAAGAGTCCATGATGGCTGAGCAGAGTCATGGCAACAAACAGCAGTTATGGCCATAAGAGAAGGATGCTGAGAGCTCACATCTTGAACCAAAACCACAAAGCAGACAGAGAAACTGGCAGCAGGCAAGGTTTTTAAATTATACCCTGTCTCATATGCTTCCTCTACCTCTGAAGGTTCACCCAAGCTGTGTTACCCACTGGGGACCAAGTGTTCACATGCTTGAGACTATGGCAGACAGTGCTAATTTGAGCCACCATACTCAGCTCCCTGTCTCTAGTTGATGGCCATAAAATAATGTGAATATCATAAATTCCACATCAAATGTTTACACAGGCATTTGCAGTCTTAGCACTGTCCAAAGTCTAAAGTCTCTTCCGTTAAATCAAGGCAATCTTTTAGTGCAAACTTGTATATATAAGTTCGTAAAATAAAAGAGCAGATTGCATACTTCCATCATACAGCGGCACAGTATAGATTCTGTATCTATTACCATTCCCAAGAGGAAGAATAGGGACACAGCACAGAAATACTGGACTAACACAAGACTAGACCCAGCTAGGCAAAGATCAAATCCTGCAGCTCCGTGTCTCATCTCCAGTACTTCCATTTCAAAGGACTAGAGGCTCTTGCCTATAGTTTGCTTCCTACAGCAGACATCGCTCTGTGTCCAGCTTCACTCCCTTTATACAGCTTCTTGGAAAATATTCCCCAGCTAACATCTTGGGGTTTCACTTTCATAGACTCAGGCATTGGTCCTTTGCCCTCTCAGGCACTTCACAGAGCAACTGCTCTGTCACATCCTGCCTACTCTTACCAGCTCTCTGAAAACACCAAGTGAGAATCTCTACTTCTCTTACTCGGACCTCCATCAGGACTCTAATCCAGCACCATATGGAAAACATGGCTCCGTAGCTTGGGATCCACAGTGGCCCTCTTGAATCCCTTTAGCACCCGTTTTATTTGCATATACCTGGATATTATGCAGCAATTTAAATATAACTTTCCCATCTATAAATCTATAATTGCGTAAAGACTAACAAAGCCATAAGTATACACTTTTAAATGTTTATCAATATCTTTAAATTAATTTGTTGAGTAAGGTGCCAGACATATTAGTAGATTCAGAGAGTTTTATGCAAAATAGATACTCAACTGCTCACAATTCAAAGTGAATCTAATTATCGATTTTGGAAGCACACCAAATTAGTACTTGACTAAAATTCTTATTGATTCGTTTTAGAACTCTTAGAGGTCACTTAAATAACTTTTAAGAAATGTGGTCAATAATAATCATTCTTGATCCCTCTCACTTACAAATTCATTAGCTAGATTACCACTTTGGAAACTCTTTTCCCATAAACTATAAACAGCTTAAATGCACAAAATGAATCTTTCCTAATTTTCTACATTACTTAATTCTTGGATACGATGTCATGGTAGGAACTGGCTTAAGCCATTTTTTTTTTTTTTGGAAATAAACCCATCAACAAACACCTACTGAACAACTGAACAAGAGAGAATCACATACTTAATGCTAGTAGGTGTTAAAATAATTGATGAATCATTTCTATCCTGTCTGTCACTCTTCCTTCAAAAATAAATTAATCTGCCTTGTTTCATCATGTTTTTCTCTTTTCTTAAATTACAGAAGCTTAAATTCAACATGCATAGATCTGATAAATACAGAAAAAAACATATTATTTCAGCCCTTTACATTTTCTGCCCTTATACTTGGCCAGCTTCTAGGCACCCAGATCCCTCTACTTAGCGCTTCTAAGGCGCGCTAGGCATCCAAACCAGCCACCCACTCCCTTTCCTCAGCCCACTCGTCTAGTCTTACTCCCAGATATGCTCACTACCCTCGGGTTATTGACCCTGCATGTTTTCAATCGACCAGGAACTCTCACTTTACAGAGGACGTTCTTCATTGCAGGCCTGTGTCTTAAACTTCCCTCAGTGTCTGATAACTCCATTTCTGGCCACCAAGTTCTGAAGTTACTTTTGTGTCTCCTTCAGTAGGTCAGCAGAGCAAAACACTTCTAGTCAGTATTGTCTCTAACTGATGTCAATCACGAAAAAAAAAACAAAAAACACTAAGAACAACAACCACAACCCAAACAGAGTAAACCGTGACAACGATAACGTCACACAATGTTAAACTCCTCTCAAGACTGCAAGCAATCCCATCAGCATCTCTCCATTCTTCCCTCTTCTGCTTCTCTTAATATTTTTTTTTCCTGCGCAAATGATACTTTATATCAAAGTAGTAAGATGAAACAAACCAGGCCTGGGCCAGAAACCTGTAAACTCTGCTACGCAGGACACTGGGTCCCGCTGATCCTCACAGCAGATGGCTTTATTTATGCCCCGCAGATTTCAGCAGCAGTGGGGCTTCCCTCACAGCTGCCCCCGCTTGTCCTCAACTGTGTTCCATGATTAGTCAGTTTCTGCGCCGTTTACTTCCTCTATCGGCAATTTATTTCATTAACTCCTACTTTCTCCACTTGCTAGACTTTCGGCACTTGCCATGTTCCCATTTTGGCATTAAATAAATAGTGTGGATTCATCTTTCTTGGCTTACTAAGTGCTTCCTCCGGACCAGACTATTTTATATTTTTCATGACTGATATGCAAAGCTTTTGCACTCTCTGTATATATATTGAGGATCACTGCTTTTTTAGAACAGAGGATACTGTTGACTCCATGTAATTTATAGACGGTGCCACACATACACACCCTGCTCTCTTCAGCCAACAGCACTAGTGAGTCTCACAGCACTTTTGTGGACAATGCTGCCCTCTTATGGCTTCAAATTTTCACGTTGGTGAGTTTTCCACATAAGCTGTGTTGAATACGTCTGCTAATATTTAAGATTTTCTAGGAAACTTTACAGTTTTAGCAGAATTTAGATTTAATTTAGATTGTTTTCGAACGTTAGTGGCTACAATTTTAAGTCATGGTCATAATCATGTAAATTAATTACATATCACCAGTTGAATTATGAAAATTGGAAAGGCAACAGGAATTTGATTTAAATTTTAATTTCTAAACAAAAAACGATTTACAGAGTCTTAAATAATTTATTTGTAGATTAAAGTGGTCTAAGTGCTAAATCTCGGACTTAACACAAGTTAAACAAAACTTCATTCAAGAAGGTCCCTCTGGTTTTCTTTCTTTCTCATTTTTAACCTCTCTTATTCCAATGGTTATGTCTACCCTAAGAAGGGAGTAAGGGAAATCACGAGAACCATGAGAGATTCGTTATTAAATTCTTCACTTAACACTCTGAGTGTAAAGTCAAATTGATTTTGTGTCATTAATAAATGTTGATGCAAAAAAATCAACAAACATGGAACACAAGATTCAAATTTCTCAATCAGTGGTAAAGAGACTATTGGAATCCTGTAAGGTGTTGATGATTTTTATTTAAAAAGTCACAATTGTAGGCGACAACCTTTACCTGACCCATCCTGTTGATTCATCACTGCCAAACACTGAGTTTAAAATGGAGTTACAAAGTCTACCTGTGGGCTTTCCTTTCCCATTTTTTACCCTATCATGCCCCCTTGTGACTGACAAAAAGAAACTTTCTTTTTGTTTAAGATTATATAGCTGTGATCATAAATTAAAAAAAAAAGTAAAATAGAAAGAAAGGAAAAGTCACATCTATGCAGATATTACTTGCTGAATCATTGGCTGAAATATTTAATACGCTGACTTATCACATCTTCCTCAACCAATATGAATGAGGTTTTGCTGATAACAGCAGGAAGAATGACATTTACACTGCCAGAATCATTAAAGTTCTGGGGATGTAAACTTTTCCTCAGCTCTCTCCATGAGAGGAGACTGCAAGTATGGCGTTACTTCTATTAACAGAAGGTCTAGCAAAACTTCTTGAACAGAAAAAGCAGTATTTACTGAATATTGACTGGATCAGTTCTCAAACCATTTTGCCTTTGAACTTGGCATGGAAGTTCCAATGTGGGGTTGGAGTTACTGTTTCACTGACATAGACATAACATGGTTCGGTTCACAGCATATGGACTTCTAAGAGGCTTTCAAAATGAGTGAACAGCAAGTAAAGGCAAAGGGAAGGCCCATGTTATACTCATACTCACTCATACTCATGTTAGCATGTTGAAATAGTCAATGCTTTGTATCTGATGAATGGGCTACAAAATAATAGTTATCTCTAAAGGATAGAGCATAGAAACTAAAATAACTAATAACACACGTAGAAAAACTACATGTTTAAAAACTCAAAAATGAGTTACCATGAAATTATTAATGGCTAGTGACTTATCAGTCAATTGACTTATTATGCAAGTATTTGATTTATTAAAATAAGAAATCATTTTTGCTATTTTAATATATATTTTAAGCATTTTCACATATGTCCACAATTCATAATTCAATGAACACAGAAAACGAATGTAATTTTTGAACTACAAGAAGAGATTTTTTTTCTTTGTTAATTATAACAAAAGTGCACATTAGAAGAGCCATGAGCCTTATCATAAAGCCATGAGTTAATGAGGTGATAAACATTAAATTCAATATGTAGATAATTTTAAATAGTTTTAAGAAAAGATCTCAAATCATAGCTGTGTGTTACTTCTTTATCTTTAGCCTGGATACAAAAATGAATCAAAGTGTCTAAAGAAAGACAAATGATTTATACAATAATTTCAGAAGTGAATAGGGAAAAAATAAGAAGATGCTTTCCAATTTTTGCCAAATTCTTCAAAAATCATAATAAAAACTACATTACGTTTCTTTCTCAGGGAATCATATGTGAAATCTCTATAGATAAAATCCACCAAACTTATGTATTTAGTTTATGGACTGACCAAGTAACTTGAGAGCTCTCAAAGGGATGAGTCCATTAAGCAGATGGTTTTTGAACCAACATTCCATGAATTTACCAGCTCAGAGAGAAATTATAGCATAATTGCTAGAGTGTCCCAAACACAGAAAAGTCAGTATTAATGTGTATGAAACAGGGACTATTTTTAAAATAAAAAGAGCAAAATATGTCATTTAATGTGATAGCATAATTTTCTTAGGAAGTGAGGATTGTAGTTATTACCTTAGATATGGTTACCTGTGCATTAATTTCTGTTTATATTAAATATGACATAGAAAGCTTAATATAAAATTTTATAGTCAATATCACATACAACTACTGCTCCAAGGTCATTACTTACCTAACTTTTTCCTTAATTTTTTTGATTTCATTTTCTGTGCTCTCTTTAGCATCTGCTGAGCTGTAGAGATATCCTTAAAGCCCCTATTGAAAAGATAAATGCAAAATATCTAAAGCCTAGTTATACATAGATATACATGTAAATGTACATGTTTCAATTATATTACATTAAATAAATTTGGAATCCCACTTAGGAAAGTCTAACTCATTGCACAGGTTAGTTTCTTAAGGAAGAATGACTTCTTGAATGCCCCCCTGCTTCCAAAATCTGCCTTGGATATCCAGCAGTCCTTCAGTTTTTTATTTTCTTTAGTATAAAATAGAGGACTTACCATTCTTCTGAAATTTTCTCCTCTTTTTCAGATTTCAGTAAACTCTTTCTACTTGTGTTTGATTCAGGTGTCCTGGAGAAAGTTCGACTTTCAGATCTGTTAACAGAATTGCAATTTTGAAAATGGAATCAACACAAGTACATCAGCTTTTTACAAAACTACAGGCCGCTTCTGTCGTCTCAAACTTGAGAATGAAATCTGTTTAAGACACAGAGGAACTTTATCTTGAAAAGTAATAAAAGTCTTCCATTCATTTAAAATGTTTACATTTCAATTACATGGAGCACATTTCAGTTCTTTTGCTGAGAAGACTGTGGCACTGGGATTTTCATTCTGGTTCTCCTTTCTACCTGCCAAGTCGTGAAGATTCGCTTGTACAATTATTGCATTATTTCCCCCAAATGTAAGCCTTGTCGCGGCTTGAATGGATCTCCTCCACATAATTGGAACCCTAGAATTTTCATATTTACCATCACATGTGTTTCATCTTCTCAGCCAGGAAATTCACATCTATTTTTATAATGATTCTTCTTTCGCAAGGGATATGTACTTTTGTCTTTGCCCTTCATTAGTTCATCCCCGCTGAAAAGAACAATTTAGCTTACCTGCTACTTAACTGTGTGTGTTCTGAAGAAAACAAATTTTCTTTCTCATTGCACAGCCACGCCTGAGCTGGACGCGTGGGTACAGCAAGTGAGGTTTCAGCGTGTTTCAAAGTCTGAGAATTCTTATTTAAAAAATGTAAAGAAATGTAAAATGAATCAAACACTTCCAGCTTTGTTATTGCTACCTAACATGCATAAACCTGAGCAATCGCAATCGGGACATTCTTTACAATATTAAAATGATAATAAGATGAAAGTTTTGGAACACGCTTGAATATTCATTCTTTTGTTGCAAGGTGAAGCATATTCTTTTTGGTATAGCTCATGTATACAAAATGATTAATTGCAAAGCTTAAAACATCTCAGAAAACAAAAACATCAAAGATGATCAAATAAATAACAGATATTGCGGTCCCCTGACCTCTGGCTGAGGATCCTCAGCTGCTGCCTCTCAGCGTGGCTTTCTGCATTTTCAAAATGCTGTTAACTAGTGATTTTAGTCTACTGCCAAATATGCAGCTGAGGTACATCATATTTTTTTCCCCTCTGCTGGCTACTGTTAAATAAAGCGTTGAAAGAAATCCAAAGTAAAGAAAAAAAAATTAAAGAGCAAATGAAAGAAAAGCTACATGAAAAATTACATCTGGGGACGAGGAGGAAGTCAGAGGCTTCTAAAAGTAATTATGTGTTTCAGGTCAATAAATTACATTATTAATCACCACAGCAGAGCAGAACCTTCAGAGCCAGCAAAGACGGAGCAGTCTGAAGTGTCCATGGTGGTTTACCTTTGGCCAGGGCAGCTGATTGGAGAGAGGCAGTGTTTGTGAAGGGAAGCTGGCGGAATCTGAAACTGCCCAGTCTTTATCCGAGGCATCCTGCACAAGTAACGGCATCAGAGTTGGCAAAGCGTAACTTGCAAAGCTCTACCAAGTTTCCTTGGAACTGTACGGTATACCAGAAATAGTCCCAGAGTCTACGAGGGCTTGCATTTATAGGAAAGCTTTACTTGCTCTTGCAAGAGGTTGCGCCTCTGGCTAAGGCCCACATTATAAAACAATGAAGGGGTTTTTCATCCACACTCTTTGGTTAAGGAAAGAGCTGATATTTGATTGCTGCAGTAATTGGGTAAACATTTTTTCTGAATATTGATTCATTGCTGACTTTCAGCTAAGTCTAGGAGTAGCCAAGAAGCATCAGTATTTTAGCTCTCTGTCATGCAAATTATGTTTTCTATTAAACATTGTTACTTAAACTACAATATTTTAACACATCAGAATCAATGTTCCTTAAACACTGAATATAAGCTAAGGTTTGCCTTAATTTTTTATTTTCCAAATTTCAGAATTATTTTGGGTGGACATAAAAGACAAATTTGTAAGAATGAATAAATATTTATGGTACATCATTGCTAAGACAATTAATTTCCAACACAGCTCTTCAAATGGGAAAACAGTTAGCTTATACATCAAATGTGAAATTTCTCCCTTTGAACTCCTTCTCTTCATCCTTAATCATATTTTTTCATTTGTACAATTCCCAAGTTATTCTTTATTCAATGAAGTTATATTAATTATATAAGTGATGTACATTTAAGATATAATTATCTAAATTTTATTTAATTTAGTTATCTTATCTGATATATCTCAGAATTAACTTCTGTGATTCTTTATGAACAAGGATAACCAGAACACAAATATCTATCTCACAGTTATACTGATTTTAGAGTTGCAATTGGGCAGTGAGGAATAAGTTAAAGAAATCTGTTGAGTTTTTTGGTAACTATAACAACTAACAATGTACTAAACATCTCTGAGAGTATTTGAACTATTCTCATGAAAAAACAATAAACATACTGGTTACTGTATTTGATCATAACATTAAGATTTTGATTCTACCAGAAAGACATGGTTTAAAGCATTATGTTGTAAATAACAAACAGACAAATTATACTTTTAAAATAAATTATTCAAATGTCAATCTTCTCTAATAAAGCATTATTGGAGAGAGACAGAGGGAGGACAGGAGAGGGAGCTCTCACTGAAACCTTTCATGTTCTTCTTTCCCGTATCTTAGGCTGATAAGAAAATGGCCATCCAGAAACAATGCTGCACTTTGGGGACTCAATAAGGAAAGGCAGACTTTGAATGGAAGGGCATTTGCTTTGATATTTCTAAGAAAGTTAAGAAAATAAGATCTTGCAACTGTTTGCTGCATGTTAAGTCATGTCAGAAATTCAGTAAACTCCCGCTAACTTCTCCATTCAGAACGGTTTGCCCAATTTATGTCAGATGATAAAAAAATTTGATGACTATCCTTTGAAAAATGAATTGCAGCTCAACATAAAACTCGTGACAAGATTTAGACTCAAATTTTTAAATTAATTCCTGAGTGGCAATGTAGATTAATTCAAGAAGTGATCACAGGTTGCTGCACACCAGCTGTTATGAGATCAGTGATCTTATTGTAAGGGAAGTGGTCCCAACGAGAAGGTGATGACTAGTAACAGACAATGAGCCATCTGACTCGTGGCTAGTGGAGATCAATGTGCTGTCTGGCCTGGCATGACTTTTACACTAATCTTATTGTAATAAAAAAAAAGTCCTTTAAAGCTCCTGTCTAACCATTCCATTTTTTTTGTCCTCGGAGTATTACATTAGCAGTTCTATAAGAGCAGTAACTACACAGTAGTTCTCTCTATATTGGCGTGAGTCCTACACTAGCAGTTCTATAAAAGCAATACCTACACAGTAGTTCTCCCTCTATTGGTGTGAGTCCTACACTAGCAGTGCTACAAGGCCATGAGTACTACCCTAAAAAAGTATTCTTTATAGCGTTGCCGCCATAGCAGTTGTGAAACAGCAGTACATCAGTAGCAGTGTGTCTACAGCAGTATTCTAATAGCAGGGCTCTCTGTAAAAGCTCTCTACATCAGTCCTCACTATAGCAGGTCTCTCTTGAGCAGTACTTTTTATAACAATACTCAAAAGAGCCGGTCTCTCAATAGCAGCACTCTCTAGACCAGTACTCTCTATATCCTGCAATAGCAGTTGTCTATACAGAAGTTCTCTCTACAACATTACTCTCCAGAGCAATGCCCTCTAAAGCAGTACTCAGGTGTGGGATTCCCCTTTGTATGCTGTGAATACCATTGGTTAATAAAGAAACTGTCTTGGCCTGTGATAGGGCAAAAGAGTAGAGCTAGGTGGGGAAAACTAAACTGAATGCTGGGAGAAAAAAGGCAGAGTGAAGACAAGTCATGTAGCCCTGCCTGAGACAGATGCCGGAACCTTACCTGATAAGCCACAGCCTCATGGAAATACACAGATTAATGGAGATGGGTTAATTTAAGATATGAGTTAGCCAGAAATATGCTTAAGCTAATGGCCAAACAGTATTGCAAATAATAGGGTTTCCGTGTGATTATTTCAGTTTTGGCAGCAAGGAACAAACAATAGGCCCTCCTACTACGGTACTCCCTAGAGAACTTCTCTCAGTAGCAGCACCCTTTTAGGGAGCCATTATGGGGTTAACAGGAAACCTGGCACTAAAGAAATTCCCAGGAACCCACAAGGATGATACCAGCAAGACCCTAAGGAATTGTGGAGAGTGTGCCCGAACTGACCTTGCCCAGTTCTGCTACATTTATACACCACTGCCTACATCAACCACTATTAAAGAGGCTTCCTATAGCAGCAGGGGGGAGCAAAATCAGAAACGCACAACCAACAGTACGTTGAGGAAACCTGCAGAAGAGGGGGAATGACACGGCCCACAAAATCAACTAAGCCAGGTTCATAGGGGCTCACAGAGATTGAAACTGCAACCATGGAGCCGGCATGTATCTGAGCCAGGTCCTCTGCATGTCTGTTATCGTTGTTTAGCTTGGCGATTTTGTGGGACTCTTAGCAGTGGGAGTGGTGGTGTCCCTAACTCTTTGCCTGTGCTTGGGACTCTTCTTCCTCCCAGTTTGCCTCGCTCAGCCTTGATATGAAGGTTTGTGCCTAGTCTTATTGTAACTTGGTACACTTTATTCAGTTGCTATCCCAGGGAGGCATGGTTTTTTTTTTTTTGTTGTTGTTGTTGTTGTTGTTGTTTTCTTTTTCTGAAGGGAATCGCAGCAGGCACTGTGGATTCTGGGGAGGAGGTTGGAGGATGGGTGGGTGGGCTTAGAGGAGTAGAGGGATGGGAGGCTGCATTTGGGATGTTTTGTATGAAAGAAGAATAAATAAGACAAAAACAAATAAGCACAGGCCAGCATCACTGACATCCTCAAGGTACAACAGGCCCCAGTGAGCACCCAGATGTTTAAATTACTTCCAACGAAGATTTATGAACATTCTCTTAGACTTTATACATGGACTTTGCAAATGAAAAACTAAAGTATAAATAAGGAATAAATTTGAAAAAAAGTAAATTGGTAGCTACTGAAGTGGGATATATGAATTTGAGTAGTTTAATTGAGTATAACAATTTACTTTCTTTGAAAGCAACACCTTAGATCCTGGGAGGTATAAAGGTAGAATGAGTAACTTTTGTTTCTCAAACTACCCTGAACTCTTCTTCCTAAACAAAATGTTCCCAGGGGAATCTACTAAACTGGTGAAAAGCCCCTTAACTTTAACTTTAACTTTAAAGTTAACTTAACTTTCTGTTGTATCTTCCAGCTCAACCAGGATTCTCCAATTCCAACTTAATAGTGATTTCCCTTAAGCCCATTAAGAAATGTACTCACTCATTAGTGGATTTTAGCCATAAACAAAGGACATTAGCCTATAGTTCATGATCCTAGAGAAGCTAAGTAATGAGGTGAACCCAAAGAAAAACATAGAGATTCTCCTGGAAACTGGAAGCAGATAAGATCGCCAGGCAAAAGTTGGGAGCATGGGGCGAGGGGGGGTTAGAGGGAGGGGAGTTGAGGAGAGAGAGGGGACGGGGGGAGGGGTGGGGGGGGCTTGGGGGAGTAGGATGGTTGAGATGGAGGAAGGATGACTATGGGAGCAGAGAAGGAGATATCTTAATTAAGGGAGCCATTTTGGAGTTGGCAAGAGGCTTGGCTCTGGATATTCTGGATATTCCTGAATCCCCAGGAGTTCATGGGGATTACCCTAACTAGGTCCTGAGCAGTGGAGGTGAGGGTGCCTGAACTGGCCTTGCCCCCATGTAATCAGACTGATGACTATCATGAATATCACCACAGAACCTTCGACTGGTGACGGATAGAGACAGAGACCCACATTGGAGCACGGGATTGAGCTCCCAAGATCCAGCTGAACTGGGAATAAACGAGCATGGGATCAAACTGGACCTTCTGAATGTGGTTGACAATTGGGGCAGACTGAGGGGCCAATGATAATTGCACTGGGATTTGTCTCTACTGCATGTACTAGCTTTTTGGGATCCTATTCTATTTGGATGCACACCTTCCTAAGTCTGGATGTAGGGGGACGGCCTTGGACTTCCCACAGGGCAGGGTACCTTGCCCTCTCTTAGGACTAGACGGGGGTGGGGGTAGGGTATGGGGACAGCGGGAGGGAAGTGGGAGGAGGGGAGGAAGTGGGAATTTTGATTGGTATTATTTATAAAGTAATAAAAATATAAACATCTAGACAAAAATGGAGAATATACTTTACCATTGAAATTGGTAGTGAATTTTTAAAAATACAACCCCAAAGTCATAGGCAACCAAAGAAAAGATAGACCAATAAGATTGCATAAAAGTAAACATTTCTATACAGCACAGAAAACAAAGTAAAGAAAGCCAACATAATTGAAAATTTCTGCAACCAGTTGGTTGTGTTGAGTAGAGGCAGGCAGATCTCTGAGTTAGAGGCTAGTGTGGTCTATGGATGAGTTCCTGGACAGCCAGGACTACACA